TAATTAATTTAATTAATTTAAAGTAATTAAAAGTAATTACATTAAAGTTTAAAGTAATTAACTTTTAATAAAAAGGTTTTATTTTAATGTTAATTATATTTTAATTTTTTGCATTAATTTCGCTTTAATTTATTTACTTAAACATTTAATATATTAAAAATTAATAATTATTAATATATCCTTTATTTAAAGAAAATAAAATTCTTTTAATTATTTAAGTAATTTAAAAATTTAAAAAAAATAATATAAAACCTTTACTTATAATTTAAGTTATTAAGATTTTTTATATCTTTAAAATTATATTTCATTATAAGATAAATTAATAACGCTTTTATAAAGAATTATATATTAATATATATAAACTTAATTAAATTAAAAAATAAATGCTTATTTAATATATTATTAAGTAAAATACTTAAAAGTTTTCCTTATAATTTTTTAATATAGAAAATATAATTAACTTTTTATTAATATTATATAATGCTAAATTTATTAATAAGCATTAAGCTTAATGCTTTATAAACTTATAATTTACCCTTAAAACTAAGTTTAATTATTCTTATAATTATTAAAGGGCTTTTTATAAAGATTTAAAAATTATTAAGAATTAATTTAAGCTACTTTATAATATAATAATTAAATATAAAATTATAAATAATAATTTTTATAACTTTAATAAAATTAACTTTATAATAAGCATAATTATTATATTAATAATAATTATAAATATTAATAAATATAAAAAGGTTAAATTAATTTAACTTAATAATTAAAAATAAGTTATAATTATTAAATATATTAATATAAAAAGTTAATATATTTTATTATTTATAATTATTTAAAATACTTATTATTTTCTAAGCTAAGCTATAAAATTAAATTTTTTAAATAATTAAATTATTAAACTTACTTTAAATAAATAAATAAATAATAAAAGTAATTTAAAATAAATTTAATATTTTAATAAATATATTAAGTAATAAATAAAGGGTATATATTAAATATTAATATTAAATAATTATAAAAGCTATATATTAGCTAAGTTTAATAAATATTATAAGAATAATAATATTATTTTTATTAATATATTATTACATTTTTTTTATTTATTTTAGCTATTAAATATTACATTATATTTATCTTTAAAGTATATATATAATAATTAAATTAATCTCTTTATTTAAGCATTTATTAATTATATTATTAAGTTTAAGTTCTTTCTTATATTTATAATAATTTATAATAAAATCTTTATAAAGAATAATATTAAGATAATATTTAAAAAAGCTAAAATCTTATCTTAAGACTTAAAATTTATTATTTTTAAGCTTAATATATACTTATAAACTCTTATGCAAACCCTTTTTATTTCTTTTTAATATTAAAAATCTTAAATATTATTTAATACTTAGTAAATTATTAAGTAATTAAGCTTTATTAAAGACAAGATTTTTACTTATTAAAAAAGCTTTCCTATATTAATTATAAAGGCTATTAATTAAATAATAAAGAATATATAAATAATAATATATAAACTTATTATTTTAAAGAATTAAGTTTATATTCTTAAGAATGTTAATATAGTATTTATTAAATATTAAAAGGTTAAAAGAACTTAAGTGCAGCTTAAAGAAGCATTTATTATTAAGGAATCTTAAGCTTTTATTTAAGAAAAATAAAAATAAAAGTAGTTAGTTAGTAAAATAAATAATAATATTAAAAAGATAATTTACAATAAATTAATTAAATAATAATATGGTAATTATAATAAGATTAAGCATAATATAAAAACTTATAAAAAAGATAAAGAAAAATTAAATTAATTAAATTTTAATTATATTATAGCAAATCCAGCTTAATTAATATTAAATAATATAAATATATTTATTTTAATAATTTATAATAAACCGTGTTTTTAATAATATAATTAGCATTATTTAATATAAAATGTAAGTTTCTTATTAAAAGTTACTTATTTTAAATTTATATTATACTTATATTAATTACTTTAAATTAATTAAATTAATTAAAAAAAATTAAAAGTAATTAATATTAATTAATATTAACTTTTTATTTATTTATTAACCTTAAAGTAATGCTAATATTAGCTAAAGTTAAGTAAAATTATAAAACTCCGCTACTTATTAATATTTATTACTTATTAATAAACTATATTATATAAAATATTATATATAGCGGTAATTATAAAAAGCTAAAGATTTTTTAATATTAAATAAAATTAAAAGCTAATATATTAAAAGATTTTTAATTTTCAAGGTTTTAATTAAATAAATTAAAATTTAATTAAATATTAAAAGGGCTATATAATATATTAATAAGTTACCCTTTAAAAACCTCGTTATTTATTTTATATAAAAAAAATCTTTTATTTAATGCTTTAATAAGTATTATAATATTTAAATATTATTAAAAAGGGAGTATGGAGATTTAAATTTAATATTTAAAATGAAAAAAACTTAAATAATAATAATTTTTATTTATAGCAAAAAAATAATTAAAAGTATAGCTATTAAACTTAATAATATTAATAAAGTTTTATATATTTATAAAAATTTAATTTTAAAAAGCTTAATAAACTAAAAATTTTAATATTTATAATTAATAAAGTTAATATAAATATTAAATATTTAATTTTAATATTAAAATTTAAAATGTTTTATAAATTTTATTTACTTATATAAACTTATATATTGAAATGAAAATATAAGCAAATAATATATTATTTTTAATTTAATTTATTAAGTATTATATAATAAAAATATAATATATTATAATTTATTTAAATTTTATTAATTAAGTATAAAGCTAAGAAATAATTTAAGTTATTTATATTTATTTACGGGGAAATATTATAAATAATAACTTAAATAACTTTATAAGTATATAAAATAATTTATATATATTTTCTTTAATAAAGCTTTAGCTAAATAATAATTATATTTAATTAAAAGCTTAATATTATTTAAATACTTTATATTATATTAAAACATTTATTTAAAATATATTAAAAACTTAATTATATTTTAAGTAAAAATATATAATTATTTACCTTATTTTTAATATAACTTTTATATAAACTTAATATAAAAATAAAGTATAATTTTAATTTTATATTATATTTTTATTAAATTTATTATTATATTATCTTTATAGCTAATAACGCTTTATTACCTTATTATAATTAATAAAATTATTGTATTTTATGTTTTTTAATAGCTTAATTATATTTAAATTAAAATTCTTTTATATAAATAAATATTAAATAATACTTTATTCATTATTTATAAATAATATTATGCTATTTAAATAATTAAATTGCAAAGATTTAATATTATAAGTAATAATTATTATAAAAAATAGCGGGGATTTAAAATTAATTAAATTTATAATAAAAATTAAATAAGCATATTATTACATTAGCTAAATATTATTATAATTAATGCAAGATTTAATAATTATATTTAGCAATTTAAAATTAATTTTATTAGGGTATGAATAAACAGCCTTTTGGAAATAACTTGGGGCGCATTACTCAAATCTCATATCCTCTTATTAACTCTGCTTGCAAACTTAGACATTAATGTCAAGGCCAAGATATTGCAGGCCAAAGAGTGGTGATGGAGTTTTAGGTGCCTCTTTTAATAGCAAGGCCCTTAAAAATATGGTACCCGGAACTGGCCTTATTAATAGGCCTTAGGTGTGATGGTACGGGTCTTATATATTACTAGGGTATTTTAAGTAAGCTGACTTAGAATTCTGGTCTTTTAGTTAAAAGGTTTACTTTGCTAGCAGTAAGCAGATCCGTCTCATTAGGTACCTTCTTGCAGCTGCTTTTATACCTTATTTAATATTTTAATATAGTGAAATAAAGCAACTTATAATAATTAAGCTGCTGGCTGCTAGCTGCTGCAGGCGTAAACTATATATATAGTTATTAGCCTTTTATAATTAAAAAGTAATATTTTTATAATTACTTTAATATATTTCCTTTTTATAAAACTTATTTTATAATATTGGATATTATATTTATATTATGCTTAAGATAAAGTTTTGCTTTATATCTTAAATTAACTAAAGTAAGGTGCTAAATAATTATATACCCGACCTGGTTACCTATGCTAAGCTTTAGCGGCTAGTATTAATGGTAACTAGCAATAGCCCCTGCCTCCTCTGCTTTCTAACAAGTATAAAGTTTATTTTATAGATATAGTTGTCAGATTCATAGATAGTCACCCAGCAGACTCAACTGAAGCAATCAACCTGCAGTTACTGGTCACAAACGTGGCGGAATCCAATGCTAGAATCTTCACAGTCCTACAGATGCAACAAGTGTTGTGCTACATTCCACCACAGGTCAATCGCCAACAGCATAAATGCCCGGTGCCCAAAGCCGGTGAATGGTAGCTGTGCTTGTGCCTGACTTCTGTCATAATTCTATTGACACAGCAGTATTGAAGCCCCGCTTCATTCTTATCAGCAACGAGTGAGCGTTTTGTGTAACCATAACAACGTCGCCTCATGACAAAGCCCCCGCTTCAGATGTGTCAATATTCTGGCATAATGGGAAGGTGACGACCTATTGTGCATCTTGTGTAGCTTCAATGATGCCGATGCTTGCCGAGGAGTCTCACAAACCCCTCAGATGATACCGAGATGTGCCTACTCACTGGCAGGAAATAAATTCGATTCGTCGGGCACTCAGAGCCTCTCACAAACTATTACACAAGCAAGATGTTGTCTTGGCCCGAGTAGACTTGCGTATAAATATGCCTTGTGCGAACGAACAAATGTCAACTCATCGACTGATAGTAGCAGCCGCTCCTTGTCCCCCAAAGGTCGTCAAACAAACTTATACTTGAATTTAATAGCAGTCCATGCCTAGCTGTAATCGCATACATTCCATAGCGTCACCCCCTCGAGTTACACTCTTGGTTTAGATCTTCTGCATCACCCATATCCTCAAGGTGTGGCAATCCAAGATGACAGCACTGACAGTGTTATACAACGAGTTGCCAACTCTCGGAGACGCAGACGAGCGGTTCTCTGAGCGTGAGAACATATTCCTCAGTGTGAGGGACCTCCTTGCTCAGTACAATCACGTTTGGGGGCTCTGTCTTGTCCATGCGCACTGCAAGCTGGAAAAGGACGAGGTCATGCTCGGGAGAGGAAACGTGTCGCAGCCAGAAGTAGCATCTAATCTTGGCGAGTACTACCCTGAGCGCTGGTTGTCGTCCGGCACGCCATATGTGTTGGCAAGTACGACCCTCGCACTTAGAAGGCTACTTTAGTTATCCCCTCCAGGGCACGTAGCCTCTCAGAGCTTAGACAGAACAACACTAATACATAATTGCTTCCCATATGATTATCATACATATAAGAAACCTACTAATACTAATTAATAATCATAGGTATTATAAATTAATAAGGTAAAAAAAGCAACCCTATAAGAATTTCCCTAACTTAAAAATTATATCTTTTTTATTAATAAGCATTATATAATAATAATTACTTTTCTAAGCCTCTTTATATTATTAAACTCTTTAAGTAAATATTATAAAGATTAAATAAATTAAATAGCATTCCCTGCAATATTTATATATATATTTATTGCTATTTAAAAGATATACATTTATTATATATAAGACTTTATTAAAAATAAACTTATCTTTAATTCCTTTTTAAAACTTAGTAAAACTTAATAAAGCTTTGTTTTATTAATAAATAAAGCTTATAATTATTATAATTATTAAAGCTAATATAATGCTATATTATAAGCAAGCATAAGTTATATATTATGCTTTTAGCTAATATAAAAAAACCTAATAATAAGAGAAAACCTTAGCTTTTAAAGCCTAAAGAAATTAATAATTTTTTCTTTTTAATAACCATAACTTGCTTATTATTAAATTACCATTATTAACTTACTCTTAAATATTACTTATTTTATTAATATTTCTTTATTTTATAATCTTACTTTTTATAATATTTATTATAAAAACTTATAAGTATAGCTAATAATATTAAAAAGCTATTAACTTTTATTAAAAAGTATATAATTAATAAAATGCTTATTTAAACTTTAATTAACTTAGCTTATTATAAATATATTAATTTAAAATTATAATTTATAACCCTTATATAAAAAGTATTATTAAAATACTTAATTACTTACTTAGCAAATACTTTAATAAGCTATATATAATAAAACCTTTATAATAATAACTTTTTTATTACTTATTATAAAGATTATATAATATAAATATAAGTAATATTTAAAGCATTATTAAATCCTTATTAATAATGTTTAAAAGTTTTTTTTTAAATATAAAATATTTATATAAAACGTAATAATTAACCTATAGCATTATAATTAATTGCTATAGCTTAAATTAAAGAAAGATTAAAATAAATTAATAATAAGCTTTATAATGCCTTATTAACCTTAAAATTAAACATAAATAAATATTGCATATAACTTTAAAAATAATAATTATAAATATAGCCTTTATAAAAATTATAAGCAAGCTTTAAATAATAATAATTACCAAGAGGATAATCCTTAAAATAACTTTTATTGCCGCCGCTAGCTTTAAATATATAATTATAAAATCCAAACTTAATAATATAATTTATTAAAAATTAATATAATTAATAAGGCTTATTATTATTAATAAAAAGATAAAGATAAAGCTTATATTAAAGATATATATTATATTTAATATAACTTTAAGCTACCTTAAGAATACCTTTATTAAATAAAAAGTATAACTTATATAAAACTCTTTCTTTATAATATATTCTTAATAAATACTTAAATTTAATAAAATTAACATAATTTATAAAAATCTTTAATAATTATTATAAATATATTAAGGATTTATATAATTTATTAAATAATAAGATAAAGATATTTTTTAATATTTATTATTATATTAAAATTTAATTAAGTTAATTTTATATAATTTTTCCTTAAATGCTTAAAGATTAAGCTAAGGCTTATTATTTTTATTTTATAAATTAAATTAATATATTTATAATAACATACCTTAAAATTAAGATATATTTTAATATAAACCTTAATTATTAATATTATTATATAAATTAAATAATAATAATATTTATAAAAATAAGAGCATAAAACTTAAATAAAGACTTATATAAGGTTTTATATTTAATGCTTAATAAGCTATAACTTTATTAATAGGCATTAAATTAAAATTATATTAAAAAGGATAACTTAAAAATAATAATAATTAAAGCTTATAAAGAAGTTTTTAAGCTAAAAATAGCTCTTTTTAAATTAATTTAATTATATAAAGAATTATTTTTAAACTTAAGAGTTATAATAAAAATGCAACTTAGCTATATAATTATAATTTATATTATAAATAAAGTTTTAAATTAATATTATATTAATTATAAGTATAATAGCTAAAAGCTAAGGAAAGGATAATAATTATAATTTTAAGTATTTTAAGGAAATTAAAGATTTAATTAATTAAACTTAAGTTATTTAAGCTTTAAATAGTTAAGATTTTATAGCATTAATTATAAAGCTTAAAGTAATAATATTTATAAAGAAGAAAGAAAAGGATAACTTTAAAAGAAAAGATATTATATTTATAAGAAAGAGGAATGTTAATTAATTAAATATTTAATTAATAAGTAATATTTAATAAAAAGAAATTACTTAATATAATGTAAATATAATGGTTATAATAATAACTTTAATACTTTTTTAAATAAGTTTAAATAATATAAAATAAATAATAAAAATAAATTTTATAAATATAAAGATAAATAAGATTAAAATAATAATTGCAATAGCAATATTTATATTATAAAAATAGAACTTAATAAGGAGGTTTATTATATAAATATTAATTTCTTAGCTAATAAAGCGTTTATATATTAAATTATTAAAGATAATATTTTTTAAATAGAAATAATTATTATAATTAGCTAGTTTATTTTAAAGAATAAATATAATTAAATTTATTTTTAAGGCATCCTGCTAAATATAAAAGCATTATTAATATTTATAGCTAAATATAAGCAATTTCTTATATTATAATAAAAAAACTTAAAATATTAAATTAATATAATTATTATAAGAAAAGCTAAAGTTAAATTTAATAATGAAATAATTATTAATTTATTTAGCATAATAAAGGTTTTTACTTTAATTAATTATATTAATTTCTATATTATTTAAATATAAACCCCATTTTTATTTTATTTAGCAAATATAAATAGGCTTTAAGTATATTATAATAATATTATAAATAAAATAGTTTCTTTTAATAATATAATTATTATATTAATACTTAGAAAATAAGGTTACTTATGGTTTTTCCTAAATAAGATTATTAATACTATATATTTCTTCTTAAAGATAAAAATAAGGAAACTTTACCATTGCTTTAAATACCTATTAATAAATTAATTATATTAAATGCTTAAAAAAGCCAGCAATTTAAATATTAATAAATAAGCAATAATAAAAATTAAGAAGATATATTATTATTATTAAATAAATAAACCTATGCTTAAGCATTTTAAATTTATATTATATAATAATTATAAATTTAATTATAAAATCTTAATTAATATAATATATTTAAGTAAATACTTACTTCTTTATATTATAAATTAAGCTATTGCTTTTTAAAAAGTGAAATTTTTAAAATTTATATTTATAAAGATTATATAATAAATATTATAAATGCTTTAAATTAATATATATTAAGAATTATTAAATATCATTAAATATAACGTGAAAATAAACTTTATATCTTTAGAATTTCATTTAAAGGCATAGATAATAAGAATTAAATATAAATAAGTCTTTATAAAGGTATATTAATTTATTAGGAAAGTTAAGAAATATTATTAAACTCTTAAATAAGTATATAAAATTTTATATATTAAATTATATAATAGCATAAATAATAATATTATTTTATAAATAATTATAAAAGTTATTAATAATATTGTTAAATTAAATAAATTAATTCTTATGCTTTTAATTATTAATGCTTACTTATAAGTATTGCATAAATTATTATTATTATTATTAATATAAAAGCAAGTAAAAGTTATTTTAAAGGTTATAAAGATATTATAAAAAACTATAGCTAAATAATAAATATAAAATATATTAAATATTAAGGTTAAACTTATTTTTAATATAAAATACTTATTATAATGTAAAGTTTATATATAAAAAGAGAAAGAAAGATAAAAGGATTTATATAAAGTTATTATTATAAATAGCTATAATATAACCTTAAATATATTAAATAAAGTTATGATATTTAGGTTAATAATTATTTAATTATATTATTAAAATAATAATAAGGAAATGTAATCCTTATAAACAAAAGACTTAGCTATAAAACCTTAAATATAACTTATTATATAATTACCGTTATTAAAGATAAAAGATTGCATTATTATATTATATATTTTAAAGAAAGAAAATAAAAATTATAATTTAATAATTAAATTAAGATAAGATAAAGTTATTATAATATTAAGCTTATTATTTAAAAAGTTTAATAAAATAAAAATTAATAACCTTATTATTAAAGATATTTTTTAAATTAAGAAATAATTAGTAAAGTAATATAATAAATATTATCTTTTTAAGTTTTATATAATATAAAAAATAAAAAATAAAATTATAAAATTATATAAGAAATCTTAATTTATTATTTAAGGTTATAATAATAATAAAAAGGGATTAATCTTAATATAAAGCTTAATTATTTAAAAAATAAGTTAATAAATAATTTTTATACTTATCTTTTTATTATTTTAAGAAAAAGATATAATTCTTATACTTTAAAATATTACTTAAGCCTATTTTTAAGTAAAGTTAAAATTATATAAAATAATTTTTATAAAATTATTAAAGAAATTAAAGAATAAATACTCTTTAAGCATAATTATTTATATTATTCAACCCTTATATAGCATAGCAAAATCCAATATTTATTAATTTAATATATATTAAAAACATTATTAATAAAAGCTTAAAATAAATTGCTTTATATATAATCCTTACTTAATAATTATAAAGCTTGCATAATCTTTTAAGATAATAAATATATAAATAAATAATATATTAATTTTATTTATGCTAAAATTTTAAAATAAGAAAAAGATTAAAATAAAAGCAATAAAATTATAAAAAAAATTAAAATAAAAGTTAATGCTTAAAAACTTAATAAATTATAATAAAGCTTATATAATTATAAATACCATTAGCTTAATTACTATTTATTAAAAGGAATAAGTTAATAAACTTATAATTATTAATATAATAATTAAAAATACTCCTTAAAAATACCTTAAATAAAAAGCTTATAAAATATATATAGCTTTAATTTATTAATTAAAAGCTTTATATAATCTTTTAATAGCTATATAAATATAAAACTTAAAGGCAAGAAATTATAAAAGCTTAAATATGCAATTATTATAATAAATAAATAACGCTATGCAAGAAATTAAGTATATGCCCTTAAATCTTAAAATAGCAAAACTTTTTATATTTATAAATAAATTATTTATAAATAATTAAAACTTAATATTTTAACTTAAATATATTATTATCCTTATAAATAAAACTTATAAGGAAATTAAGGGATTTATAATAATAAGTAATATTCTTTATTAATTATTAATAAAGTATAAATATATTATTTAAAGCATATTAATAAGTAAAATTTATAGCATAATAAATAAAGTAAATATTAAAATTTCCTTAATTATAATAATTAAAATAGCTATAAAATAACTCTTATTATTAAATATATCTTTAATTATTTATATAAACTTATATAACTTATATAAATACCTTATAAAGCTAAGAATAATAAAGGAAAAATACTTTATAATTAATATTATATTATTATAAAAGTTATATAAAATAAGAAAAATTATTAAAGTAAAGTAAATAAATAAAAAAGATAATTTTATTAATATAATAATAAAATTAACTTTAAATATTATATTATAAAAGCTTATTAATAATAATAAGCTTTATATATAAGTAAATAAGTTAATTAAGAAACTTAAAATAGCCCCTTTTTACTAAAGAAGAAGCAATTTATTATTAGCATCTTTTCTTTTTAACCTTATTATTATTAACTATAAAACCTTATACCTTTTAAACTTAAACCCTTAATATAAACTTTAACCTTTTCTACTTTAATTAAAGATCTTTTTAATACCTTATTATATATAAAAATAATCTTATAATTATTAATATTATTAATAATTATTATTTTAAAGTTAACCTTATTATTATTATTACTTTTTATTATTATTTATTAATAATAATATTAAAATTAACTTTTATTAAATTTATTTATAACTTATTAACTTTTCTTATAATTAAAAAAATAAATTAATAATTATTATATAATAATTATAAAGTTTTATATTATAAATATTTATTTTAATTATTAAATTTTTATAAAATTTTTTTCTTTTTATTATAATAAAGAATATTAATAATAACTTATAAGAGTTATTTAATATTTTTATTAATATACCTTATAAGGATAATAATAATAAGTAAAATTATTTAATAAACATTATATTTATTACTTATGTTAAAGATATACTTAATATAATTATCGCTATAATTACCATTAATATAATTAATATTAAAGATAGCTATATCGCAACCCTTAAATAAAATTAAAATTCCCTTATAAATATTACAATCATAACCTTAATTAATAAAATAAATATTGCAATTATAATCTTAATTAATAAGATAAATATTATAATTATAACTTTAATTAATAAAATAAATATTATAATTATAATCTTAATAAGTAATAAAATAAAAATCATAATTATTATTAAGGCTATAAAAAGAGCTAAAATCGCTTTAAATAATAAGGATAAAGATAAGCTTATTGATTTTATTAATCCTTATAGCGAAATTATTATTAATAATGCTTATTTAATGAATATTAATAAAGATATTAATAATAATAACTCTTATTTACTTAATATTAATAGTAATTTAATTATTATTAATAATAAAGATAATTAAAATTAAGTTAATAAAACTTTAATAAAGATTATAAAGATTATTTTTAACTTTATTTTTATGTTAAGCATTAAAAAAAGTAAGCTGCTTATTAAGGTTAACTTTTATAAAATTATTAAAATTAATAAGCTAAAGGCTATAATTATAACTTAAGTTAAAATACTTTTCTTAAATAATATTATTATAATAGCTATTATTTAAATTATTAATAACTTTTAATATTAAAATAAATAAATATCTTTTAATAATATAATTAAAAAGCTATATATTTATATTAAAAGTATTAAAACTTTTAATATAAAATTATATAGCATTTTTAATAATACGAATTATTAAGGTAATTATTATTTTAAATGCTAAATTATTATAATTTTTATAATAAATAACTTAATAAAAATTTTAATTTTAAGTATTTTTTTATATATATTAAATTAAAAAGATTTAGTTATTAAAGAATTAAATTATTATATTAATTTAAATTTAAAACTTTTTATATTAAACTATTAATAAGTATATATAAAGCTTATATATAAAAAAACTTATTAAGAAATATATATTATTGCTTAAGCAACTTAAGTAAAAGATAATTATTAAGAAAATTAAAAAAAATAATAAAAAGTAAAAAAAGAACTTAATAAATAATTAAGTTGCTTATAATACTTAATTTTAAAAGGATAAAAAGTAGCTAAAAAAATTAATTTAAAGTAATATTAAGTATATTTTAATAATAAAAATAAAGATAAAAATAATAATATTTATATTATAAAAGTATATAATAAAAATAAATATAAGCTAAAGGGTTTAATATTAACTTTATAAGCATTAACTTTCCTTATAAAGAAGAAATTTAAAATTAAAGCTTTTATATAAAAATTAATAATCTTTATAAAGAAGCAACTTTAAAAGTTAAATATTAAAAATAATAAGTATAATATTTAAGGAATAATATAATAATAAAAGTTATAAGTTTAAGGGATGGTATAATAATAAAGGTTGCTAAGATTTGCTTTAAAACTTATAAGTTATAATTTTAAGCCTTTTTAATAATATTTTCTTATAATAAAGATTATATATACTTAATATGTAATAAATTATAATTTTAAGCTAATTATAATAAGGATTATATATACTTATTAAAAAAAGAGAAAAACTATAAGTATTAATAAGTATAACCCTTGCACTTAAAAGGCTACTTTAATTATCCCCTTTAGGGTACGTAGTCTCTTAAAGCTTAGATAGAATAATACCAATACATGATTGCTTCCCATACGACTATCGTACGTACGAGAGACCTACCAACAATATGAATTCACGACAAGACACACCGTCTCGCCGCCTACTGCACTCGTCGAAGCCTTCAACAAGACCGTAGCAGACATCGGTGTTCTTGGCTTGTACCATATTGATGTCGAGGCAAACCAGCCCAACAAGGTGATTGAGCACACTGAAGGCCGCAAAAACATTCTGACGCCGTACACGGATGAGGACCCAGCTCGCGCAGAAGCTATGACGCAGACGGCATGGGACTTCAGCAGTTTCGACCCTGTCACGATGGCATGCAACAATGTTGTTATCTGTGATTCACGGACCACGAGAAATGGGGCAGTGCACAAGGGTATGTTCTGAGCTGTGTGTTTGGAAACTGTGTCAAGGCTCGGAGCTAACCAGAACAAAATCTAGGCACGAAGTCCACGATACACCAAAACACATCATGAACACGTCGGCACGTTCAACACGAGGGTCTATGATGCTTGTAATGGTTGGGAAGATTGTCTTAGCAGGCAGCGTGTGCAGAATTTCAGCGTTTATTCTCCAACGGTTAGGCAGACTGTAGCTCAAGGATTTTGTGTATTCTCGACAATCCCGTTGACCATGGCCGCCAATTCGTCCAGTGTAGGCCTGTCATCAGGAGAGACACGTGTACATGCTTCGACGATGGCCTGCAGGGGCGGTGGGACGGGCCAATCTACAAGATTCGTAATGGCAACATTGCCATAAATCATCTCCTTAACAAGATACCCCAGGTCGTAGATGTCCGATTTCTCTGTCCAACCAGCATCCAGAATAGGCCGCCGGGACACTTCGGGGGCAAGTCGGTTGCCCCACCGGCTCTCCAGATCGATAATCACAAGGCGGGAGGATTCAGCAACGACGAGGTTGTCGATTCGGAGATCGCGATGGACGATCTCCACCGAATGAAGACATCGCAGCCCGTCGATGACCTGCAGAATCCAAGTCTTGTATGTCGCCAGAGGGTACACTTGTCCGAACACATAGCGGGGGGTGAACTTGTTGAAAACCAGCTCCGCCGCCCGAGACTTTCCCAGCAGCTGGATGACGTGGTCAGACTTGGGCACGCCGGGGCAGGACCCGCCCTGACACGCGAGGAGATTGCGGATTTCGCTGGCATATTTGCCCTTCTTAGCGAAGTGAATGGCAGGATCGACTTCGACGACAGGCAGGACCGCAAGCATCTCGCTGGTATCCTCGGCGTCGTCTCGATCGTCCGGCAGCGGTGGCGCAGCTTGGAGCTGACGCACCTCGTCGCCGACAATGTCGTAAGCGTGGTCAGTGTTCAGCACGGGCAGATTGTGCTTCAGCCGCAAGATGTCGCCCGAGAGCGTACCGGGGATATCGGCCAGGCGGACAACGTGGTATCGTTCCTGAAGATCGTTGCTGTCGCCCTCGATTTCGTACCAGTATGTGTGGTACGTGATCCCGTCGATGACGTCCACCGCAATGTCAAACGCAATGCGCCCTGCAGGCGGCACGAGATTGGTTGTGTCGCGCTGCTTCTGGTAGATGGCCCGCAAGCGATGCACTTCTTGCGTGAACGCGTCGTGAGCTTCGGCTTGGGCCATGAGAGACCTGGCCGCATGTCGAATGGGTTAGAACACTGGATGCAGTGGAAATGAGAAGGGGATGGATGGAGCTCCTACAATGAGAACCGTCGATACAAATGCCTAGGAACTCTGCAGCTGACCTTCACTGATATCGGAGGCGGGCTTTGCTCCAAAGATGAATGTGTTTGCAGGAGAAGCTCTTGCCAGTATAAGGCAGAGGAGTTGAATTTGCGGTCTTGCGGGCTGGCTGGCAAGGCGAGAGGGTAGCTGAGGCGTGCAGAGTACTCTGTTTTTGTTTTGTTTACAGGGCGCGGGGTATCCATGCCACGTGCAAGCCGCAGTTGGACATCAACTGCAACTGGTTGGAATTTGGAAACGCAAACCTCAAGACAACCTGTACAACTTGAGAGGTTTGACTGCGGGTTCCAAAAGGTGCATATAGAGTACCTCACCGCCCAGCCGAATGACCGACCACTGTGGACTGTAAGTCTCGTGGTCCATATTCGACCCACCCCCTGATTCAGTCCAGATTTCCCACCAAAATATCTGCTTTTTAAAGACTTATATCTCCACTAACATGGTTATATAAGCCCTAAAATTTAATATATATATAGTAAATAGCATAAATATAAATAATATAAATATAAATAATAAAAATTCGTATTATTATAATTATATTTTTATTTATTATTATTATAAAGTTAAGATATAAGGTGCTTAATATTAAAAATCTAAGATAGTTTTAAATTATTACTATTAATAAATAAACTGCTTAGCTAAAAAAACTAAAATATTAAGTTCTTAGCTTAATTTTCTTAATAATATATAAGCCTTATATTATTATAAAAATAAGTATAAAATATTTACTTGCTTTTTTTAATAACTTAAGCTAAAAAGATTATATTATTAAGTATTTTTATTTTTAAAATTAATAATATATTTAAAACATAATTATATTGTTTTTTTAAGCTTTTAACCTTATATACTTTTTAAAAGAAAATAAAGTTTAAAGGTACTTATATTTTTTTTAATTAATAAATAGAAAGATTAAATAATTTATAATTATTTATTTATTATCTTAATTAAGCTAAAGTTTTTTTAATAACTTTATTATTATTTTTTCTTATTTTTATTTTATATCTTTCTTATAATATATTAAATAATATTATTAAAATAAAGTTAATTAAGGCTTATAATTTATATTTATATTATAAAGAAATAAATAAAGAGGTTTATAAGTTTAATTTATATATATTTATAAGAAATAATAAATATAAATATTAATAAAGTAGCTTAATTAATAATAAAAAAGTAAAGAATAAATAATAAGGTTAATAAAGCTAATATTTATAAGGGTTTTTATAAAGCCTTTTATTAATAAAGCTTATTATATTTATATTAAAATAAATATTATATAAGTAATATAAAGTTATTTATAAGCTTAAGAAATACTTATATATAAAAGGAGGTAAGGGTTATAAAGGCCCTTATTAAAGAGAAAGATTCTTAGAAAGCTAAGTATTTAAAAAATATAATAAAACAATTACTTTTTATTTTTCTTAAAAAAAAAGAAAATATAAAATTTATATATTTAATAATAACTTTTATAAAATTAATTTTATATTATTATATATATTTCTTAATAATATGTATTAATAAATATATTTATAATATAATAATAATAATAATTTAATAATATTAATTATAATAAATAAATATATATTAAAAAGGTAATATTAATATTTATAAAATATTATATAATATAATAAAATAAGAAATTAACTTATTTAAATAATATATTTAAAAACTTTAAATTTTCCTTAATTATTTTAATTTCTTATATATTTCTTTTATTTTTAATATATTTTTTATTATTATTTTAATTTTATTATATAATTTTAATTTTTAAAATTATTATTTATATTTAATTTAACAATAACATTTATATATTTATATTAAATATAATTATAAGATAAAAATTATATATTTTAATAAAAAATAAATTATATTATAAAAATATAAATTATAAAATTTATTATAAGTTAACCTAAGGATGTTTGCTAAAAAGTGCTTAAATAAGGTTTATATTTAAAGTGTAAAGAAAGAAGTTCGCTCTTTATTTATATTTATATTTAAAGCTGTGATAATATTAATGTATTATGTATTTATATTTATATTAATACATAATACTATATTTATATTTATATTTATATTAATGTATTTATATTTATATTTATATTATTAAAGGCTTTATATTATGTATTTATATTTTATATTTATATTTATATTTATATTATTAACCTTTATATTAATATTAATATAATATTAATACATAATATATTATTTTAAAATTATAAAGTTTAATTAAAGTTATAATAAATTTAATAAAATAAAGTTAAATTTAAGAATTATAAATATATATCTTTTATTTTAATATATAAGTTTTTCTTTATTTTTAAATAATTATTATTTAAAAATAAAGAAAATTTAATAATTAAAGAATTAAAAGAAATAAAAGAAAAAAAGAAATTATAAATAAATAAATAAATAATTATATAAAAAGCTTTATATAATAATATAAAAATAATATTATTTAACTATTTATTTAATTCCTTATTTAACTACTTATTTAATTACTTATTTAACTATTTATTTAACTACTTATTTAATTAATTATTTAACTATTTATTTAATTATTTTAATACTTATTTAATTATTTGTTTAATTATTTTTAAAAGAAATATAAAAAGATAAGAAAGGCATAAAGCAATAAAGTTACTAGGAATTAAATTTAGGTTTTTAGCTGTTAATGGCTAGTATTTTAATTGCTAAACTATAATATCTTTATGCTTATCCCCCCTTTATCTTTAAAATTACTTAATATATAGGGTATATATATAAAGAATAAAAAGTTAAAATATTATTTATATTAAGAGTTTATTTATAAATAAGGCTAAGGGTATATTTAATTAAATAGCGTAAAGAAAGAGGGTTATAATAATGTTTTTTATATACTTTCATTTAAATATTAATATATATATATTAAAGATTAAAGTTTTATTTATTAAAGTTATTTTAATATTTTTATATATATTATGCCTTATAAAATCTAATATCTTATAAGGGTTATAAGGCATTTTAACCCTTTATAAGCCTTATAAAAGTAAAGGTTATTATTTATAATATTATAAATTAATAAAGAAATTATAAAACATTAATACTTTATTTAATAATTTATTTAATAACTTAATAAATAAATTAATAAGTTAAGCTTATAAATAAGGTTAATAATATATATAATTAAATAAAGTAAAAAAAAAGGGTTATAAAAATATTTATTATATATTTTTATTTAAATATATAAAAATATAAACTTATATTTAAATATATAAAATTTTTATTAAAAAATTAATTTACATTGCATTATTATTATAATTACTTATTTAAAATAAAACTTACTTTATAAGCTAATTAAAAGCCTTAAAATTCAATTAATAAGTTATATAATGTTAATAAACTAATTTTTAATACCCCTTCTTACCCCCTTATTCTTAGCATTATTACTTATATATACCTTTTACTATCTTTATAAATATTATATATATAAAAATAAAAGTTATATATTTATAAAGCTTTTTTTTTAAGCTATAAGGAAATATTATTAAGAATAATTACTTTTTTCTTAAAAGAAATATTTAAAGTTAAGTATAATTTCCTTATTATATAAAGGAAAAATCTTATATAAGAAATTTATTATTAAATAACTTATTTTTTTAAAGTATAATAATATAGTTTTTATATATATATAATATTATCTTAAATTATAATAAATACTTTAATATTAAAGAAATTTTAACTTTATAATTTAAGGTTTTTAAATAAGAATTACCTTAGCTTTTTTTATATATACCCTTATAAACTTTATAAAAGTTATTATTTTATAAGGATTATAAGTTATTTTAACCCCTTATAAGCATTATAAAAATAAAGATTATATTATATGCTTAAATATATTAATGTTATTATTTCTTTAAGCTTATAATTTTAATAATATATAAAATAAATATTTATTATAATAATATAAAAATAAATTTCTATATAAGCTTATAAATTTATTTAATAATATATAAAATAAATATTTATTATAATAATATAATTTATATAATTAATATTTAAAATAATTAAATTTCTATTATTATTTTAATTATTTTAAATTTTCTCCCTTATTTATACTTATTTTTAATAAATTATTATTTAATATAGCTTTTAAATTTATATATTCTTTAATTTTTAATGATTTATTTTTCCTTTATAAATTAATATTAATATACTTTAATATTAATAATTATTTTTAAGTAATATTATATAAGCTTATACATCTTTTAATTATTATATTTATTTCTTTATTAAAATTTATTTTAATAATAATTAATATAATAAGTATAATTAAATATTTAATTATTAATATTAATAAAATTAAATAAGTTAATTTATTTAATTCTTATTATTTAAAAATATTTATTTAATAAAATAATTAATATATAAATAAGTATTATATTTATTTTAAATTTTAATTTATAATATAAGGCTTTAATCCTTCTTTAAAATAATCCTTAATTTCATTCTTAATATTTCTTTTTATATCTTTATTAAAAGTATTAGGAAATAAGAATTTAAATGCATTAATTTCTTATTTATTTTTAATATATTTTTTTAATAAGATTTCCGTTAAATTAGCATTTAAATTAATATATATTTTATTACTTAATAATAAAGTAAGTAATTTAAGTTTTTTTTCTTCATTTTTATATATTTGTATATATAATTTAATAATATTTAATTAAATTAAATTATATAATTATTTAATTATTAAATTATTAAATTATTATAATAACTTATATTATTGCTTTTTTAATTAATAAAGATTTTAATATATTTATTTATTTATTTAATAATTAAATTTCTTTTTAAAGCATTTAAATATTAAATTAAGGGTTAAATAATATAATAAATAAATA